TCAGGAAATTGCTTTCAGGTAAACTTTATTTTTTAATGCTCCAGAAACCATAGGATAGAGCACTAAACACGCTGACAAATTCTTTCCAAAACCGGAAGAGATTTATGTATTTAAAAAAATAGCGGATTGTTCTTAGGATGTTGTGTTTTTCAAATGATGGTTGGAAAAAATGATCGGTGGAATATTGTAAAAAATGGAAAAAAAAAAACCATTTCCCTGACCTTACGTCTCTGGTTGGGAGCCGGAAAGAAATATGTATACAACAGAAAACCATGCAGATAATAATAATAATAATAATAATAATAATAATAATAATAGCTGGTGGTGGTAACAAAAATGATCGGTGGCAATTTGTCACGAAATCATTTCTGAACTTAGATCTCTGGTTGGGAAATATGTATACGACAGAAAACCAAAGAGTTAATAATAATAATAATAATAATAATAATAATAATAATAATAAATCCTGGAAATTGCAGGAGACGACGCAGGAATCTAAGTGCAGCGTGGATTGATTATCGTAAAGCTTTGATAGTGTTCCACATTCATGGATCATTAAGACTTTGAAATGTACAAAGTCTCCCCTGTGGTATTTAATTTCCTTAAGCACAGCATGGGAATGTGGAACACCAAACTATACCTTAGTCACACCAGGGGCACTGCCATATCCAACCGTCTGAATATCCGACGTGGAATCTTTCAAGGAGACTCTCTGTCACCCCTTCAGTTTTGTTTATCCTTAATCCCTCTTACACATGAACTGAACAACAGTAGCTATGGTTACAAAATAAATAAGAAAATATTCAATCACCTACTCTACATGGATGATCGTAAACTCTTTGCCAAAGACGACAATGAGTTGAAAGGCCGCCTCAATATTGTAAGATACTTCAGGGACGACATAGGTATGGACTTCGGATTAGATAAATGTGCAAAAGTAGCTTTCAAGAATAGTAGAATTACAGAAACACCCTTAATAGATTTAGATTTTGTCACAAAGATTAGGGAACTGGAGCATGGTGAAGCTTATAAGTACCTAAGAATTAGCGAAGTAGATGGCATACAACACCCCCAAATGAAGGAAAAAATAAGAAAAGAGTACTACAGGCGTGTACGTCTGGTACTAAATACTGAGCTAAACTCAAAGGATATCAGCCATAAACACATTGGCTGTCCCTGTGGTGCAATACAGCTTTAATGTTCTTAACTGGACCATAACTGAAATTAAGCGAATGGACGCCAAAACGAGAAAGCATCTAACTTGCTATCGCATGCATCATCCCAAAGCTGATGTTGATCGTCTGTATGTGCCCAGAACCGAAGGAAGCAGAGGATTAGTTCAACTAGAACTGTCCTACAAAACTACAACAATTGGCCTCCAAAGAATTTTGAAACTACAGAAGACTGGATGATGGCATGCGTCAAGGAATATGAAAGTAGTAAGCGTCTTTACTCCGTAATGAAAGAAGCCAACAAATTCAAAATGGAGTTTCAAATGGGCGTAGAGATGCAACTACAGCACAATACACCCGCTGAAATTGCAAAATACCTAAAAAAGACAGCAAAGACGAATGCAACCGACCAGATACAGAAGCGATGGCAAGATAAACCGCTTCATGGCCAAGACTCTGCCCGTACCAAACAAGCTGACGTAGACAAAACCCGTACCCATCAGTGGCTACGTAGTGCAGAGTTGAAAGTGGAAATTGAAGGCTAATGCTTGCTAACTAGAATTATTAAGCACATATACTAAAATATTGTGTCAGCCCAAAATGCAGATTCTGTGATAAATATCCAGAAACGATTGATCATCTTGTATCAGGTTGCACGATGTTGGCACCCACTGAATATAAAACCCGACATGACAGAGTGGGTCAATATCTGCATTGAAAAATCTGCAACTTCTACGGGAAAGCAAAACAAATGGAGTGAGCCAAATATAGAACCAATGGCAAGGTAAGTCTCTTCGTGGCCAATACTCTTCCCCTGCCAAACTATCTGGTGTAGACAAACTCTGAACCCATCAGTAGTTACGCAGTGAAGGATTAAATTTCTGAAACCGTAAGTTTTATTCTTGCTGCACAGGACCAATACTTGCTAATATGAAATTACTAAGCAAAGAAGCTGACAAATTCTCATAACCTGAAATGAAGGATCATTGATTAATATCTAGAAACAATTGACGAGATTGTATCAGCGTGAACGTTATTATCGTCCACCGAATATAAAACTCGGTAGTATAGGGTGGCCAATACCTGCACTGGAAAATCTGCAACTTTTACGAAACGGAAACTGCAAGAATTTGGAATAAATACCACACAGACCTGAGTACAGGCATTGGACTAGTAAGGAATTTATTGGATTTTACAATTCAAGCAGACAGAACAATCGAATCTAATCGCTCTGATATAAAAAAATAAAAATTCCAAAACAATGTGCTTTCATATTGACATGACAATTATTGCAGGCTGTAATATTTCTCTGAAGATCTTCAAATAACAATCAAAATACAAAGGTCATTGAATGGAAATTGCTAATATGAGGTACATGATTATATGAAAAATTCCAGTTCGGTTCGAGACCTCGGTTTGAAGGGATTCCTGGTAGTCACTCACTTAAAGAAATACAAATCAGTGTTTCCACAATTACAGCTCGCACCTTATGAAGGTTTTTTTTTTACCATTGGACTCCGGTTGAGACCGTGAAGGAAATGAGTATACAAATGAAATCAAATGAAATAATAATAATAATAATAATAATAATAATAATAATAATAATAATAAAGGAAGCCAACAAGTTCAAAATATAGTTTCAAATGGGTGCAGAAATACAAGTAATACACAATACACCGACTGAAGCTGCAAAATACATAAAAAAAGAAAGTAAAAGCAAATACAACCGACCAGATATAGAAACAATGGCAAAATAATTCGCTTCATTGCCGATACTCTGCCCGTACCAAACAAGCTGATGTAGACAAACCCCGTAGCCATCAATGGCTACGTAGTGCAGGGTTAAAAGTTGAAACCGAAGTTTTTATCCTTGCTGCACAGGAGCAATTCTTGTTAAATAGAAATTATCAAGCACACACTAAAATATTGTGTTAGAACAAAATGCAGATTGTGATAAATACCGAGAAACAATTGATCATCTTGTATCAGTTTGCACGGTATTGGCACCCACTGAATATAAAACCCGGTATGACAGAATTGGCCAATATCTGCACTGGAAAATCTGCAACTTCTACGGAAAGGAAACTGAAAAAAATTGGTATGAACACCACACTCTTTGGGTCCTGTCACTGGAATCTAACCAACGTCTTTACACACTGTGCCATGTATCCTTGAGGTTCTGAAGATGGCCGGAGCGTACAACGGCAGAAGCGTTGTAATAAATATGGCGGCAAAGATGAGGACAATATTTCGAATTATGTAAATAGTGTACATAATACCTCATCTTAGAAATATACACAGATACTGAAGGATCCAAAACTTTGTGATAAATATGGCAATAAAGATGAGGTCAAAAGTCCGAATAATGTAAATAGTGTACATGATACCTCATCTCAGAAATATAGACAAATTCTCAAGATAAACAATAAATAATTTTCATTATCGGGTAACAAAGGACGTACAGTGTGACAGAACGTCGCTTTAGCAAAACGAATAACTTTCAAAAGCTAATCAAATTATTTAGAAACAGAAGAATTTCTTTAGAAATAAAGAAAAGAGTAATGAACTGATATGTAATATCAGTCTTCCTATATGGTAAAGAATGTTGGGCAATCTAACAGATGAAGAAGACACTTGAAGCAACAAAAATTCGGTTTGCAATTCTGTTTGCTGTAATACCTTGGAACGAACATGTAAAAAACGACAACATTTTAATGAAAAGGGAAGCAAATGACACTTATACTTAGCACAAAGATGAGACAGTTGAACATTCTAGGGCATATGAAAAGGAAAAGAGAGTTTGGAAAATTTGATACTCACAGCAGAAACTGAAGGAAAGCTGGACAGAGGAAAACAAGGAACAGCCTAGCTAGCGAGATAAAGCAAATGGATGGCGGAACAATATTTAGGAGAGATGATAAAAAGACAAAATTCTATTAAGGGACAGAAAATTGTCAAGAATCATGATCGTCAACGAACTGAAGGGACATGACAAAAAGAAGAAGATAAAAAAGAAAAAAACAAATAGAGCAACTGGGAGACATGAACATGTTTTAAAGCAATATTACCATAGACCGATCGTTCCCTCTCGTTATGTGAAAGACGTTACATGTATTCCTGATATTTTGCATACGTTTGAACTGGCATTAGATTGAGATCATGCAATCACAGACATTATAAGGGGGTTTCTACATATTTACTTCGCTTGATTCAGATTGACAGAGAGTCACGCTTACATAGCATGTGTCTTAGATAAAATCTGTATGTTTAGATAGTTTTATTAGCTTTCTGAGAGAAAATCAGTGTAGTGTTCAGTATTAAAAATATACCTCATGAAAAATTATATAAAACTTATGTAAAATCACTAGAGATTGCTCTATGACCAACATAATTATATTCTTTTTAATTGGTTTCTGTTCCCACTACTGTTGGATAAACAAAACAATAAAAATGCTGGTTTCAAGTGAGAAAGCACCGACTCACCTGATGATTGCCGTAATACTATATCCTTGCATTTAAGTTACTTGTTGAACGTGTGCCAGACTATCTTTAGAAAATATCCAACAACATTCAAATGTTTGCATTTTTAAGCAATTTTTTAATTTCCTTTCATTATATTTGGCGAACATTTCTACCCATAATAGTTTTTGATATCATGTTGAAATCGCCGGTTCTCTGCCGATTACTGAAGTTAAGCATCGGTGACCATGGTCAGTATTTTGACCGATGACTGCTGGGTAATAACTACTAGGTAATACCTACTAGGTAATACCTGCTAGGTAATACCAAGCGACCGACTTAGCAACCCGGCAGTGGATAAATTATCGCTATGTATACGAACAGGAGACTTCCATACAAGGAGGTGTTTCTAGACTGACAGATCAAAAGATCTACCCGGAGATATTTCAGTTATTTTTGGTGAGTTAATGACTATACAGTAGAATGCATTCCTGATGTGGTTTGTAATTCCGACATTTCTTTTTCTTATAGTGGCTGTAGGGTAAGAGAACCCGGACTATATATATATATATATATATATATATATCAAATGTGTGCTGCAGTTCAATTTATATCACATGAATCATTCATACAAAAAGTAGATTAGTAAAGTTAATGATATAACGGGCGAACCGAAATATGTATTTTTAGAAATGTGTTATTGTTATCGGATAAGAAATTATGGAGCGTGGAGTCCCAGCGCTAAGTTTGAATTATTTTGAAATTTTAAGAGAGGGGGTGTTTTTACTCTCTTAAATTTTCAAAAAGATTTTCGCATTTAATTTTTCGCGTCCGCTATTACCTGGATGTACTAAAAACCAAATAATTTCCATGTCTGAGGATGGTTGAATGTACAGCCGAATGTACTAGCATATTAAAAAAAAGACCTTAGACAACTTGAAGTTATTAAAAACTAGGATCATAACATTCATCGAGTGATTCGTAGGTTAATGCAACTTTAAAAATTTGTTTGCGAAGCAGTTTTTCGCCATTTATATCATTGACTTTACTAATCTACTTTTTATATGAATGATTAATATAATATATATATATATATATATATATATATATATATTATAACCAGATTCAAAAATTTTCAAACAAGTCTATAGAAAGAATGAATGTATTGGACTCTTGCAATGTCAGTCCGACAAGACACAATACTTAAATCATCGGAATTAGTCGTGATCGTAGTAATCAGCTAGACAAGGAAATTCAATAGTATTATTTTCTTCTTGACTATTCCCCAGGACCAGTCAATCCATGATATTAAGGAGGGTAACAGGCTCTTACTACAACAGGACTAAGCCAATTACACTGATTCCAATTTCCGTACCGATATCCGCTGCACTACTAGCATTACTTGCTACAGGTGGTACCACTGCTCTGAGTGGGCTTAGACGAGGTCTGCCCAATTTGGACAAGCTATGATCAAATAAGACCAAATTTGACCAGCTGCCCGAGTGGAAACACTCGGATCCCAACGGTAAAAACCGATGTTGTGTCACAGCCTGACTCAGTGTGGTGGGGGTCAAGTAAATCGCTACTACCAGAACATTCTTGCTCATTTTGATATCGTGTTTTAAAACGTACACCCTTGAAATATCGCAATGGTGTTTCAGAAAAATTGAAGGATTAACATGTACAAGTATAGAACAAAGATAATTAAATACCAACTCAGCACTGATCTCGCACGATTATTTGTGTAGGAAATGTTTTCAAAACAACAGCGCAATGTGTTTGCAAATAAACACATTAATCCATAAATACTTGGCAGCTGACATATGAAAGGAAAGGTCGACGCCATCACGCTGTACATTTGTCTACACATCAGAGCACAAAAAAATCAATTGAAAATAAAACGAAGCGATTAACATCGAATAGGAAAAAAAATTCGCTGCACAATTTGCAGTAAAATAAACTGTTTTTTGCTCCTTCCTATTATTATACTCGCATTGGAATGATTTTTTTTTCCAATTTCTATCGTTTCTTCTGCTTTGTTTCATCCCTCGTTCCCAAATATTCAAGAGCCTTTCATCTTGTTTTTTTCCCATTCTTTTGCAAATGCACCTGAAATTTGTCTCTTCGTAAATCATTTACCTTTTATTTTTTGCCGCTATTTCTCATCAATGAATATTCATTATTTTCTTATATATTTGAATATATATATATATATATATATATATATATATATATATATATATATATATATATATTTACATCTATTTATATATACATGCTCATATATATATATATATATATATATATATATATATATATATATGTGTGTGTGTGTGTGTGTGTGTGTGTGTGTGTATAATTAGAAATAAGAATAAGCAGCTCGCTCCTCATAGAGTATGCCTAAGATTGCACAGACTAAAAGCGAGTGCTCTTTTTTCCTATGAGCAATCTCTACTGGAAGCAGCTTATTCGTGTTTCTAATTATAAATGCTCTGACGTAGCTGAATTCTGTGGCCCGGCATTGTCGCACACTTTTTCTGTTTGAAGCTTTAAGCTCCTCGCCCTTGGTGCTATTGTTCCCTAAGTCACTGAGCAATTATTTTTTCAAACCGGTAAAAAAAATTCTGTTGGAAATGTGTGTGTGTGCGCGTGTGCTTTTCGGCTATGTTGATCTTAGCCGGATATGTTACCTTCCTCCTTGGTAAGTTTGGATGGCTTACCTTATTGGATTTGTCTGTTGGTAAAAGAATTCAAATTTTCTAAACAATAACCAAAGAACATTTGATGATTGCGTGAAAGCACATGAAACTAGCGGTCATGTTCGCACACTGGCCACTGTTCACCAACAGACTGTTTCGCTATATTACAGCTTCTCAGTATGGCTAGACGTCCGATATCTTACCTCTAGGCCTCCGTCGTACGGCAGAAAGGAAGGGAATTTTATCGTTTTTCTCTATAAGAAATACGTCAGTGTCTTGGAGAACTTAATTCAATTTACTTGGAGAGTAATGCTTAATAGCAATAGGAGCCGCTGTGTTTAATACCAACTTTCCTTACAGAGTTAAAGCGGGTTTCCGGGAGCACACACACACACATACACACACAGACACACAAACGCACATACAAACACACAAACACACACAAACACACACACACATATATATATTTAGATAGATAGATAGATAGATAGATAGATAGATAGATAGATAGATATCCTCTCCCCTCAGCTATGGTTAAATAGCAGGACACACTGGGTACTATAGACTTTGATGACAACTGGTCTATGAGAAGCACAACTCTGAATTCAGGGACCGGCGGAGGGTCGTTTTGGGGCAGATTGTGCAACAAGTCTCTGTATTCGACTATTCAATTAGTGTGGGTGGTTCTGCATAAAGTGTGGCCTGACGATTGCGTCTAGAATGAAACAGACTATCACCACTAAGTGTTCAATTCTATGTTCACTTATATATATATATATATATATATATATATATATATATGTGTGTGTGTGTGTGTGTGTGTGTGTGTGTGTGTGTGTGTACAGAGAGAGACATGTTTATATTTACAATCTTACGTCGACCTATAGAAACATGCCATTCTATTACGTACGTGTAAATATGTATATGCCACATGTAATATGTGTGTGTGCGTGTGTATGTGTTTGGTTCTACTGACGTATGTTGTCTCCTTTAACTTCTACGCAGATAGCCTTTTAATGCCCCTGTATCTCTATATCTACGTGTGTACGGAAGCAGTTACCTCCCTTGACAATACTAGTCAATATCATCATATAAAACAATGATCGATGGTCACGGATGTTCTCCCGTTCATTTTGCTTTTATTTTCTCTTTCTTCACCTATTCTTCTCTAATCTATTCTATTTTATCTACAATAAATAAATAAACAGCTAATGCGGATTCATATTTTAGCAATAATAAATCTAATTATATTATCCTTTTATAACCAAAGGCAAAATCCTCCATATTTAAAATGGAATAAAAGTTGTAAATTATGGATTATCTAAGATAATGTAAGAAATAAAGATAATATAAATTAGGTTGTTAGTCAAACGGAAAGAAGTAAATATAGGATATCAAACGTATATCTGTTTTATTCTTTCTTTCCTTAATATGCTTTCATATTTTTCGGAATTTCTCGTAATAGAACCGGATTAACTTAAACAAGTAGATTCAATTTGTGGAAAGGAAAGAACAAAATCGATTGAAATTGATTTTGCAGCCTTTTCTCATCAGCGAATATTGAAATATATAAATGTAGTATAATATTATTTACTTTTTGTTTGTTTTTATTTATACGACGCCCTTTGATTTGGAAAATATATCACAGAATAGGTTAATGTTTAATGTGTTTCTCAAAGATATTCATCATCAAATCTAATATTTCATGTGACGGCGACAACTTGTTCAAAACTAATGCCTTCCAGGATATCAAAAATAAGCATATTTGAGAAAACTTGTGTATCAGAAAACTGACAAATATTTCTACGCTATGATAGAAACAAAATGGAAGTTCACTAGAATAAATGATTTGTAATAAAATTGAGATTATAAGGCATTTTTCAACATTGCACGGTTGTCAATGCACTCCGTGGTTGAGTCGGTATAAACCCGTTGGATCAAACGATGGTTTCTTCATCCAAGTTGGACGCAGATTCGAATCCTGCAGGACCGCACATATCTTTCTTTAATAAGATATCTCGAATCTCCCGTCATGTAGACGAAAATAAAAGCATATACAGTTATCGGTATTAATTAAAATAATATTTCACTAATAAAATCTGTTGGATTACAAAATAAAGAATCTATTACATCATTAGAAATACATACATACATATACACACATACGTACACGTACATACTTAAATACATACACACACAGACACACACACACACACACACACACATATATATATATATATATATATATACTAGCAGTAGAGCCCGGCGTTGCCCGGGGATGTAACAGTAAGAGATAGATCAAGTATCGACCATCATAAAGATTATTGTTTAAGGTTGACGGACACGCATGTCTTAATTAGTTTTTTTTTTTTCGAATTAGTCAAACCCAAACTCAAACAAAAACATTGTTTTCAATCGTTATGGATCTACCGATTAAATAGAATTCTATTATAAACAATTGTATTGTAAATGGAATTTTTAAATCATTCTGTATGTAAAAATAAAGAAAAATGTGTGCAAGACAATAAGAAACACTACCTGCCAAAAAAAAAGTAAAGTTTTGTTGAAATCAGTTGAAAAATTTAGGAAATCCATCCCATATATAAACGAACACACAAACACACGAACAACCTGGGTTTTATAATAAGTATAACTCGATATGAGTTGTCCCCCTTTCATTCTCGTGATGCATCTTAATCGTGTTTTCAAATTGATTTCATGCAAAAACAATTGTGTTTTTCCAATATTTGGCGCTGTTAGAACCACCGCAAGCTAATTTTACGTAGTCCTGTGAAGTTTTGTTGAAATTGGTTTAAAAATGTCGGAAATCCGATCCAATACATTAACGTAGACACACACACACACACACACACGCGTGTGTGTGTGTGTGTGTGTGTGTGTGTGTGTGTGTGTGTGTGTGTTTATTGAGAAAGGTCTGCAATGAAATCGATCATGACCGGGTATCTCGACTTATTTTCTCACATGTTTTCCGACTGACTTTTCTCAAAATATTTTCATAGCAACTGTTGTGATAATTTTCTTTTCCGCTGGTGCCTCAACTAGATGAATTTACAAATTCTACTAGATTAGCAACTGGGTCTCACTATATATATATATATATATATATATATATATATTTTTAAACATAATGGGCGTCATACCTAAGGTACATTTCGCTTTTTCAAAAAATATTCGTTGGCAATATTGGATATAAATGTATGCAAAGTCTCGACAAAAAGACAAATTTTAATTATATAAATTAACATTGAACAAGGTGGGTGTAAATAAATAGTTCCACAAGAGTTTAAAATAGAAGAAGTGGAACTCACAGACCCTCCAAAAGATGTAAGGAACGTAAAAAGTGTTCCTTCTCTCTGCACAGACTGGGCTGCTGACACTTAATATAGACGGCTTCAGATGGTGTGTTGATCGAGCACTCTGTAAAACCGAAAAGCACGTGTCTTCGTACTAAGAGGCACAAGCAGGATTGTCCAGCAAATGTTGACCAATTGCAGACTCAGGGACTGACTAAGTTGTTCTTATAGGCTGACTGGGTTTGCCTGAATGCACAAAAGCAGGACCATGCTGCGCCACCCGGGTCTCCAACCTTAGATTGGTACGTCCTATGTATACCGCGTCACAACGGCATTTAAACTTATAAACGACTAAATTTTCATGAAAATAGGACAACGTATCTTTAGAAAAGAAAGGAACCATGGTTCTAGTATGAAAAACCATGCACAACTTAACAGCATTGTGTTTAGACAAAATGGATGCCTAAATTGTGTCCGATAATAGCTGACACTCCTGCAAAGCCAAGCTAACTTCAAATAGACAGGGTACTGGCTAGGACCAAATGCCACAGGCTTTTTTAACCGCCTGATTTTGTTGTCAATCACACGCTTGATAACATTGATGGGATATCCATTACTTTGGAAAATATTCCGAATTTTAGTAAGTTCACCATTTAACATTTCAGCGGAATGACAGCACGATGGACCAAAGTCGAAATCAGACTAATTTTGCGAGACTTAGGAACAAACGAGTTCCAGCCCGTATAAAACCCGGTGAATGTGGGCTTACGGCAAACATTAGTGTCGAAAGCGCCATCCTTGCAGCAAGGACATCCAAATAAGGGAGAGCTCTATCCTTTTCAATCTCCATTGTATAGTTAAGGGAAGGATGGAGAGAATGGAGTTGAGCCAAAAAATTAGTGGCATCTATGAAAGAATCAAAGATGGAAAAAGTATCGTCCACATCTCTCATATAGACACAGGGTTTATGGACTTTATCAAATAGGATTCGTTCATAATAGACCACAAAAATATTGGCGAAAACCGGACACAAAGGCCTACCCATCGCAACCCCATCCGTCTGGACATACATTGTCTCATTGTAGATGAACTCCAGGCTGTAGCCAAACGCATGCATACCAAAAATAGTTCTTCAGAGATGCTAGTAGGACCCAAATTGCCCCTATATAGAATGTCGTCACAAATGCCAATATTCTCAAGTAATGGGACATTGGCAAATAAACTGATAATATCAAACGACACCATCAATTTGTCTTCAGACCGAATATCCAAACCCCTAATGAATTTGGAAAGAAAGAAGCAGTCGGAAATATTTTTGTCCGAAAAAATCTTCGAGACGGGTTGGAGTTATTCAGAAAACCATTTAGCCAACTCATGTTCTACCGATCCCACCATAGACAAAATATGTCTAAGTGGAACTCCCTCTTTGTGTACTTTAGGAAGTCCATACATGCGTGGTCGTTGCGAGCCTGTCGGTCTCACCCTGTTGTAAACCTCCTTGGGGATAAAATTAGCTTTGTATATGGATAGTAACCATCTTTGAGTCATTGCTTCAACTTTACTGGTGTTGTCACATGTATCTGCGGGGCCAATCATCCTATATATATATATATATATATATATATATATATATATATATATATATCCTTCTTTTTTCATGCAAATTTCATTGAATACGTCAGATAAGGTGCTTTAGAACTGTGCAATTGTTTTTATTCGAGCGCTCGGCTATACATTTCGCCATTTTCATGGTTGAAATATATTAACTGTTAACAAGAAATAGATTGATGTATGTATGTATTAATATAATGTTTACATTTTAAAGACACGGTCAAGATATTGTGTCCATGATCATTGTTGATATTAGTGAGTGTTATATTTTTGTTTTTCTTAATAAGGCTTCCATTATTTTAGTGTTTTTGCATGTAAATGATGCTATTATATTTGTATGGTCAGCAAGTGCATTACTAATAGCGTCCAGTATGTCTCCATGAGTATTTAAATAAGTCCTAATTGATAATATATATATATATATATATATATATATATATATATATATATATATATATATATTTCAGCCTCCCCTCCCACTGTTTTCCTTCCCTCCGACCTTTTTAAAACATAATATTGATTTTTTTTTATCCTCTTTTAATATATTTTTTCCTTCTTTCTTTTTTTCTTTCCCACCCTCTTCTTTTTATCTGAACAAATTGACAGATTTAAAAAAAAAAAAAAAACTTCGGTCGCCAAAGACAAATAATTTTATATATTCGTGAAATAAATTATAACTGAATGGATTTTTAAGGACCGTCTGTAATTATGATTATATATATATATATATATATATATATATATATATATATATATATATATATATATATATATGTGTGTGTTGTGTGTGTGTTTTGGTCTGCATCGGTAAAATATATATCGTTACAGAAATAAGTTTTCTGAAAATTTATTTCAATACTCATTCGGTGCAGATAACTGGAATGAAACTGGTTTAAATAAGTGGAGATCTAGGCACGGTAAATTTAATTCTGCGAAAACACCCATACTTGAAGCAGCTGAGAAAATCTCTTAATTATTTCGGAAGCGGTTTAAATAAAATTTGCTGCATTTAGAATCGGCCGAAATCTATCCACGCACCTGCAACTTAACAGTCTCTTAAACATTAATTAAATTGCTTTAAGGACGGAAAGAAATCAATCACAAATTATTATTGAAGCGGCAGGAATTATTTTTATGTACTTAGAATTGACTGAGTTCTGCCTTAAGAGATGCAGTTAACGCCATTTTAAAATATAACGATATCCCAATAGATAAATTCGATTGCGATTTGTATAACGGGGAAGGCTTGCGTTTGTGAAAGATGGCGAATAGGCAAGATGCAATTAGCAATGGAATGTATCTCGTTAAGCGGATCACACGATTCACAAATCTTCATTATGATAGGGAGAATGATTTGGCGGCTCTACGATTTGATGATTCGCATTGAAGACTCAAGCACGTTCACACAGACCCAAGGTTGAATGAACGTGTAAATCCGGTTGGCATTGTGAATTGTCTTATGTGCATACTAAATATGTCCAGGCAATTGTACTCAGAAAGACAGTCGCTCGCCAGTCAGGCGTTGATACTCTTTTTCACACAATGGCAATGAAAAATTGACCGGCTTTTGCTGGAATATAGATCAATAGTTCTCATGCGGAGTCCATATGGACCCTGATCGATCAAGTAATTTTACTGGGGGTTCACACAAAATAAAGTAAATTGGTTGGGGTACCGCTAATCTTTTAGTGATCCATAGAAAATCGCACTTCGAGGCGCTTGTTTCAAATTAGAATTGTAAATTTTACAGTAATCTGCGCCACATTAAAATACTAAAATAGGAAGACAAATCACTAAAACTAACAGAAAAAGATATAAAGCGGTATGAGTTAACGTCTCTTTTACTCTAACGGCTGTTTTGATTGTAAAAGTTGAATAAAAACTGGCAAGTATATATATATATAGAAAGAATTATATATATAAAGGAAAATTATGTAAAGATTTCTAAACTTATCTATTAGTAAAAATTAAAATAAGCTACTTATTTCATCGAACGGTTATTGGGTTCTCCAAAAAAAAAATTAAGTGTAAAAGCGGGCTAAGGGCAAAAAAAAAAGATTGAGAAACACTGATGTAGACAAATGAATTCAAAGATATTTCCACACTCGTTTTTCTTCTACATATTATTCTTAACAAAATTATTATATTTGCGAAAATTTCCAGCGAAAAATCTGTATCCGACCGTGTATTTTGTCACTGGTTTTAAAATGAATGCTGAAGGTGTCAGAAAAGATCTAATAAAATATTATGTTGTTGGGTTTATAATGTTAGAGTTCTCGTTAATATAACAATTATACTCGGTTCTTTGTCCTTTTGTTCATTTTCTTCTTCTTTTATGTGCTATGTTCCCTCAGGCTAGACGGCGATAACTCCCCACATTTCTTTTATAGCTCTAAGAAACAATTGTGATTTTTTACCATCCTATTTTACAATCCTATTTTACAATCCTATTTTACCATCCTGCCCTCCCTCTTCTGACATCCTCTCATCCTATTTATTACTTATAACATTTGCTGTTTTCCACTGTCACTGATTCCAATATGTCCGGTTTTTGCTACATTCTCCAAGAACCATTTTCTTTCTTTGTTTCCTAGGAATTTCAAATGTCACATTCTGATTCTACATGCAAGTGTCGTTGTTCATATGTCTACTAAATGGTATCCTCAGCATGTATCTGTCGAATCACATTTATCGCTTAGGGCCTATTCTTCATTGCATCCGATGTCATATAGAAGAAGTAGATAAGACGTAGCAGTTCAGTAGACTTTCCTTGTGAAAATTTCTTATCTTTCAATACGTTGCTTAGCTTTGGGAAGGCATCTTTTCCATACCAATTTCTTCTTAGGATTTATTTCCTGTTTTCAGTCTGTTGTAATTATTTTCTGTAAGTTTGTTTATTTATAAGTTTATTTTCTGTAGATTTTGGTCTACAATTCGTATCTCACAACTTTGGCTGAATGTCTTTCAGATGACCATACAACCTGGCCTCATAAAGGTACTAGCCAAAATACTTATTTACGTAGGGATCATTATTTTAATCACGTTGGCTGTAGTTCTATAGTCACTAAATTAAGCTTAAATTATATACAAAATATTTTTAAATGTCTCTGATTAAATGCATGTTTTTGGTGAAAATTAAATAGATTGTTCTATTGAAACAATTTTGGAAAAAGTGCAATTCTCTTGTTTATTTCTCCCCTTTTATAGAATTGCTTTCTTCTAACAAGCAAAATTCTGAAAAAAAATTTAAATCTAATATATAAAGCGCTAGTTTTGATCATGTGCCTCCTTGTAACTCTGAACATATTATATATAAACATTTATGAACAAAAAAAAAAACAAGAGGAAAATCTATTTTTAGCCGACGCGTTTCGTCATCTGAAAAACTTTATACGGAAATGTGGCTTCAGAAAATCCTCCAAAGAACGAAACATTTCAGCTAAAAATAGTTTTCATTTTGTTCTTTTACAGATACACATTATCTGAAAATAATTTACATCATCTACATAGCAAAGAAAATGTGTCCTCCAGTAAGAATTGAAACAACCTCTTCCTCTTTATTCCTTTCATTTTCTTTACTAGACATGAGAAATTCTCGGACATTCAGGCCGCTAAATGTTGTTTAATACTGTTTATTATAAACAGTGCATTTACCTAAATATTTGTATCTATAAAAAAGAATGTTTAAACATAAAAAATATCTTAAAAATAATTGTCGGACTTTGTCCATTTCATAATGTGTGACGTCATTTGTTTACATTTGATACGCCATGAGCAGATATGAATGTACGTGAGAGTTTCATGGATGGCTGAAGTTTAAAGGCAGTCAATCCGACCCTGCTAATCAAATGATTCTCTGTGGCTCGATCGTTTAAGTGCATGTCAGGCTAACTGACTGTTCCGTATAGGATACAGGTTCGAAAATTTCACGGATATTCAGGTCGGTAAATGTTGTTTAACACTGCTTATAATAAACAGAGCATTTACTTAAATATTTGTATTTATAAAACAATGTATAAACATAAAAATGTCTTAAAAATAATTGTCTGACTTTGTGTGACACTATTTAGGGTTGCGTGAAAAAGAAAAAAAAAGGCGAGAATTAAATTAGGAGATAAGAATCTATCAAAAAAAGAGGATGTTATTTTTTTTCTAACAAGGAAAAAATGATAAAGATTTTATTTTCATTAGCGAAGAAAGTAAGGTCGCAGATCTGTCGCGTTTGATTTATGACGGCACACCGAATGGTGAAAATTTCAGGTCGGTCAGGTGGCCTACAGGGCAGAATTCTAAGAGATAAAAATTAATTGTGTCGCGGGAAAAATGTCCGCTGGACCACCCGCAGAGTTACAAAGAAAGAAAGACTGACCCATTAGCTATCTGCGGAGATGTCGTTTGGAAAAAGCACCTGTTTTATGTCAAGAGCTGGCCATGATAGCAAAATTATTTTATCAGAACGAATAATTGGCTGTGGATATCGCCAGATGACCACCCACTTGTTTGACGAAAGTCTCGATTGATAAAGTCAGGTGACATACGGTTAAGATAAGTCTAAGGATTTGTTGTCGAGAAGAAGAAAAAAGAAAGAAAAGAAAAAGAAAAAGAAAAAAAGTAGATAATTTTTTTTTCTTTGAGCAAGATTTTTTAAACCGAGGCTTGTCCGGCCATACACACGCCGCTGAGCGTCCATTGGCTGAAAGGTGGCGTGAGCGGTAGGCGAAGGTAATCATGTGAAGAAGGAGGGGGAGGCCTGTTGACGCCCCCTGAAGGGATCGGTATGAGATGCCACTGTGAGAGAGAGGGGAAACCCGTTGACACCCTCTGAGGGTATGGGTGAGATACCAATATGAGAAAGGAAGAATTTAGGAGGACGAAAGACTTCCAAAAATGGAAATTAATAATTCTTCCTGACCGAGAACAAAGAAAAAACCCTTAATGCGGATTTAGAATTAAACCCCGACAGGCCCACCCCGGTTTTGGTCGGCGTCCATATAAGCAGAGTCGCAACGAGTAGAAATCAGTTGAGTTCGCAGTTCGCAGCTGAGCGGTTGGGGTTAGACAGACAGGCAAGCAGTTACAGTGAGCTGAGAGCTCGCAGACAGCCTCGCAGAAAGCTGACTAAGTTTCCACGCAATCACGACCTCAACTTCTAACCAAGAACAATTTACTTTTGAAGAATGGCTTAGACTCACACAACCAAAACAAGTTTTACGAATATCGCCTGAAGATACACCAAAAACAAGTTTTACGAATATCGCCTGAAGATACACCAAGAACCAGTTTCTTAAAGAACAAACAACTTAAGACTCACCTAAAAAACACAAAGTGTCACGAATCCATATATCAGTTTGGGAGAAAGATGCAGTCCTGTTTTAAGCAACCAGATATAAAATATTGTTATCCTTTTTTAACACATTTGAACTTTTCGAGTTATTACTTTATTTTCTTTTATATATATTTTTGCGCTATTACCCTTGTTCGAACCCGACTTGCATTACGGCCCGGCAACTGATTGATTTCGTCTACCTAAGATCAAATCACAACGTGGGTAGGTTAGACTAGAAATCAAAACAGTTAGAGACGTTGGAGGCGAGCTGGGAACGACAAGGCTGATGCCAAATCTAACCAGATTCCCATCCGAATCAGCAAAAAGTTAGAACGTCACATTTGGTGCCGCGACCAATACCAAGTCACATTAGTCGTCACAAGACAGGATAGGACGGCGACGGCGCGGAGACAGACGGAGGGATGTCACAATTGGCGCCGCGACTAAGACAGTATGGCGCGGCCAGGCAGACTTCACGTTTGAGGCAGCGACACCGGGTGACGTCACATTTTATATTTCCTAATATATATATATATATATATATATATATATATATATATATATATATATATATATATATATATCCCTGTGTAACGAAGGCAATCCCGTACACTGTGATATTTATTTCTCTGTCAATATATTTATATATGCCTCACATGTGCTGAAAAAATAAAGTTTATATTGAACATTCGGCCTCGCATCTTCGCGCGTGAAAAATATATAAAAAACAAATAATCGAAAACCATCAAGGACATTGTCGCAGAGATGTCGTACCTTTAAATCCTCATTACGACAGGGGCCTTCGGGTACATTTCCAACAGTTATTGGTGAAATTCACAGTTGAATAACATGGACGACTTGGACTTGTCCAAATACGTATAAACTAACGCCGAGAATCGTCAGCAGGAGGAGAACAGGTAGAGATTTAGAGACCTAGCTTATCTGCTTACTATAGATTTCAGTCAGTCTACGTCGACTCCAAGCGATATTCTGCTTCTTGCGTTATTTTC